ATTGTGAATCGAGTCTACCGGGCTTTGGAAGAGATCTGCAATGTGTGTGTGTTTTCATGCGTGTACATGTTCGTAGCATATGGCAGCACAACACAGTTCATTAGAGCAAAGAACCAGGGCAAATTAATTCACAAAACATACAGCAACATTGAACACTGAAACAAGACCAAGCAGGACCAGCAGCAGATCTAAACACATTTTAGTGAAAGTACAGACCAATGTATACACTACAAATGAAACCATTGGTTATTCATGTCAACATTTGGAGAAAATGCAGTGCAGTGAATTGCAAAAAAGTGAGTGAGAGATAACACAATTTATCAGGAGGCAATACACAGTACACACACACACATATGTAAATACAATTCTTACATTTATTTTTTTTAGTGGTGGGGCCTTACCCGTGTATCTCTGGCGTTAGAAAGGGGATTTTCACTGGGAAAGAGGCTGCAGTTCTGTCTTGATTTATCTTGCAGATTTCTCTCATATATTCGGTGCAGCTCTGAAATAGCAGTTCCTTTCTGGCCCGTTCACTGGGCGCACCATCCCAAAACTGGCACTAGAAATGTGTTGTTTGGTTCTTTAGCTGGCACTGACGAAAAATATCACAGTCATAAAAGGAAACTTGGACTGTGTGTTGTTGGGAAGCAGGAAAAAAAAAAAGAGCCAGCAAGCACCATCTGTGTTTTCAATGTGAATCATTCACAGTTCTGTATGACATACTTCTGAACAGCACAAGAAAGGCCAAATGTTCAGATATCAGTGCGTCCTCAAGCTGCCAGAAATGATGATGAATTGAGACTGCATGGACTCGCAAAGGAAGGTTCAAAAGTCATATTGATGCTTAGCAATTACAATAGCTTTACCGCTTTACCGTTTTATTGCCGGTCAAATCTTTCCTGGGAAAATTTAGAAATAACGCAAAAAAGTAAATAGAAAAAAAAATTGTTCGTAATTTCGTAGTCATTTTTCAATTCACAAAAAAGACAGAAGGAATTTTACATAAACAGTGCATGAAGGAAATATGATCTCCATTACACGAGAGTAGATGTTAAAACTCCATGCTGATTTAAACTACGCAGTAAACTATGCTTCTCCATCCATTTATGCTTCTTTCCATATGGTAGTGTGACTCCCCTTCTGTCCGGCGTTAACTTGGCGCATCAGCACCTACGACGGCTATGACTACAGTGTGGTCTCCCCAGCCGTCTGGATTGAGCCGAGTAGGGGACATCTCTAGGATCTTAAAGTGGGCACCTTCGACTAGCCCACGACACCTCAAGAGGGCTCGACAGTGACTCTGGCGTCCCAGAGTCACCCCTCTACTTCCCCCACTCAACTCAGCCCAGCTTACTGACCTTTACATCCATCCTGCTGCTGAGGTTGCTCCTTCCTCGTAGTTCACATGTGACCTAACCACAATCTCACGATCTCTCCGCAACCCAACCATACGCGCCAACCCGTTTGACTAAGGCTGTAGTCGTTAAAGTAGGTTCAGTGGCAACGGTTCCATATGGCATACCACCTACCTACCGCAAAACACAATATCTGAATTTGCACCATTCCAACCAAATGCCATTATTTGCACGGGACATATGAACAAACTCAACAGCAATCAAAAATTCACAATTGAAATTTGGTATAACCAATAAAGCTTCCACCATAGGGCTCAGAGAATATTACAGCATTGTGATGATGTTCATGTGATGATTCATATATGTATATTATGTATATATATGAGCATGTTTTTTTTTTATCTCTGCAAATACTAGAAAACAAAACGGTCAACCCTCAGGCCAGTACACTCTCCATTAGCGATGAAATGCACTCAAAGACACACACATCATCATAGTGTGGTTCAACAAAATTCCCTTTACACGCACTCACACCAGACACACAGACAACTTCCCCTCCATCATTCAGTCGTTCTTCTCCTCCCTCACGTTCCGTCTGTCTGAGTTTAGAAAACCATCCTCATCGAATTACCTGGCAAAGCATAATGAGCAACATTTTTATAGTGCAAATGACTTGGTTGTTTAGTTTGATATATATTGCTTCCTTCTCTTTCTTTATTTTAAGCTATTTCACTCCCTCAGTCATTTTCATTTCAGGATATATCACTCCCTCACTCTCTTTACTTCAGGATAAATCACTCTCCCCCACTCTGCTCTTTACTATCTTTATATCGGAATATATCACGACAAGAATCCTTTTCCGTTGTGCTCTATTATTGATAATCTAATGCTGTGAGTTCAGTCTGGTTTGAAAGTGCAGAGAGCAGAATCCAGACAGTGATGCAACCTGAATGTCATGTAGTCTGGCTTTTAATATTGACATGTGAAGCCATCTAATTTTATAATTTATACATGAATACATCATTTTTTTTTATAAATTTTGATGATTGTATGTACACTGACCTAAATGATTACTAGGAACACTATACTAATACTTTGTTTGACCCACTTTCGCCTTCAGAACTGTCTTAATTCAATGTGGCATTGATTCAACAAGGTGCTGAAAGCATTCTTTAGAAATGTTGGCCCATATTGATAGGATAGCATCTTGCAGTTGATGGAGATTTATGGGATGCACATCCAGGGCATGAAGCTCCCGTTCCACCACATCCCAAAGATGCTCTATTGGGTTGAGATCTGGTGACTGTGGGGGCCATTTTAGTACAGTGAACTCATTGACATGTTCAAGAAACCAATTTGAAATGATTCATGCTTTGTGACATGGTTCATTATCCTGCTGGAAGTAGCCATCAGAGGATGGGTTCATGGTGGCCATAAAGGGATGGACTTGGTCAGTAACAATGCTCAGGTTGGCCGTGGCATTTAAACGATGCCCAATTGGCACTAAGTGGCCTAAAGTGTGCCAAGAAAACATCCCCCACACCATTACACCACCACCACCAGCCTGCACAGTGGTAACAAGGCATGATAGATCCATGTTCTCATTCTGTTTGCGCCAAATTCTGACTCTACCATCTGAATGTCTCAACAGAAATCGAGACTCATCAGACCAGGCAACATTTTTCCAGTCTTCAACGGTCCAATTTTGGTGAGCTCTTGCAAATTGTAGCCTCTTTTTCCTATTTTTAGTGGAGATCAGTGGTACCCGGTGGGGTCTTCTGCTGTTGTAGCCCATCCGCCTCAAGGATGTACATGTTGTGGCTTCACAAATGCTTTGCTGAATACCTCGGTTGTAACGAGTGGTTATTTCATTCAAAGTTGCTCTTCTATCAGTTTGAATCAGTCGACCCATTCTCCTCTGACCTCTAGCATCAACAAGGCATTTTCGACACACAGGACTAAAATAGTAGTGTAGTTAGAAATGGATTATTTCACCCAGTATTGGTGCGTATGCTAATTAGCGCATATAGTGGCAAAATGGGAAGCACTGTTGACAATAATTGCGAATTGAAGAGTTCTACTGCCTCGTGAGGTAAATTTAGGTGATGATCCAAATGCTGCCATAGTATGTAAGCGTCGAGTCTCTCTAAACTTGTAAATGTTTACTTAATAAATCACAGTTTTAAGCACATACAAGCATCCCTAAAGTGTTCAACAGATTAGATTTGGAAGATTAGAAAAGACAGGAAAGGGGCACAAGTTCCTTTCTTGTTGTTTTTCTGCTCAGCTACTTTGCTAATTTGAGAGGTGCGTGGTGCATTTGTTTATGCTTGACTGTGTAAGCTGGCATTTGCTGTGTGAGTTTTATTGGTATAGTAGAGTCCCTGGATACTGGCATCCTCTGGTCCTCTGTCCTACCAACTACAGTACACCCACCCACTTGCGTGGAGATGGAACCTTCCGTATTCCCCAATGACCATGTGGGAGGCATCCCCACATCATTCAGCACAGTCACATTTAGAAAAGCCTCTCTGGTCCTACCCACATTCACTCGTAACCGTGTGAAAAAAGCTAAAGGTTGTGCAAGCCATCTTTACAAGGCTGTGTTACATAATCCTGACTCCCAGCTACTCCCTACCTCTGTCTCTTAGTTTCACATCTCAACAGTTGCTCACCTGGAAAATGGAGATTCTGAATCTCAATGGCAACTCTACATCGTCACAAGCACAAAAGGAAACAGCTATTACCTTTTTCCAAGAAAAAGTAAGCAGGGCTTGTCTGTGCAAAACCCACAAACACAATGCTAAAATGTTGCTTGTGATGGTTTGGGTGTAGTTATGTGGTTACTAAGGTTACTAAGGGTGTTGCTGTGCAGTTGTGAAGGTGTTCTAGGTGGTTGTTCGGGTGTTGCTATGCGCACACGCTGTCAATCAATGATCAATGCAGCTGTCAGTTGGAGGGGCGTGGTTATGGATGTTAAGGAGACACCCAAACCGCAAAGCCTACGTCATCGAGCAAGGTCCTCCAATGCAGAGGGGAGGGGCATTTTCAAAATTTGATTAAAGATTACGAAGCCAAAAATTTTTTTTGTGTGGATTGACTTCCATGTATGAATTGTTCATCACAAAACGATCAATTTAGGCAAACAAAGTAAGTATGTTCAATTTTGATTTCATGGGGACTTTAAAAAGCAAAATAAGCGGGTTTCTTGACTAAATATGAATTTTGATCAGTTAATTTTAAACCGTATGAACTAGTCCAAGTATCCAATAAGCAATGCATTCAAACCGTCAGTCCAAAACAGACCAAATGCAGAGAAAACCCGTCCAATTTCTTCAGAGATGGCTGAGCGAATAGTGTATTTGACTTCAAATGATGATATCTCTCCTTTTCTGTGATTGTTTCAGGGCAGCCCAAGCCATTTCTCATCGTGCTAAATACAGACTGAACGGCAGCTCAAAACACCCAACCTGTCACGGATGGAACAGGAGCCAGACAGGTGGCAAGTGAAGTAGTGTTTATTTACAGGTTGCAGATCCAGACAGAGATACGGTGAGTAAGCAAGCAGACGATATTGAAGATAGAACTTAGCTGAAGGATAACCAGAGTCTTTGTTTACAGATGCGGATGGAGCGCCACCGGGAACAGGCTGATGTTCGGAGACTGAACTTCCGTGTGAAGGTTAGCAGGTGATTGATGGATGGAGCTCAGGTAGCGGGTAAATGGCAGGTAAGTTGCGTGATAGTCAGTAGTGTCATGTAGAGACAACACCAGACAATGAGTGTGTGAAGAGGAGTTGAATATATAGGGAGGTGAACTGATTAGGTGCAGGCGATGGTGATTAAAACTCGGGACCGTGGACGAGTGGGAGGAGTGAGTGAAGCTGGAATCCTGACACAACCGCTGTGTGGGGCCACAATTTTGACATCGATACCATGAGGAAAAACTGCCATAAAGATATTTTTAATATTATCTCATAATTTGGCAGCTGGTTTGTTAGGCTGCTGTCACTTTAAGACCTGACGCACATATTCATTATACTGTTATACATGCGTTGTCTTTCTCAACTGTTAACGTTCAATGAATACTCGTCAAGATCTGATTTTTTTTATATTATTTTGTGTGTATTTTACTGTTCAGATGCAATAAGCAGTGAAAAGGATCTCAATTTAGTACTGAGAGGTGGATTTATGTGCGAGCACAAAATCTGTGGGAATGAGAAAATCATGCGCGATACATGCAATCCCAAATAGTAATTGTAATATTTCACTGTAAAGGAAAAGTATTTAAGAAGAATATAACAATGATGATGATAATAATTTTATTTGACAGTACAGCTATAAAATTACAATACTAATATTTATGGTTGTCTTATTTTGTTAATTTTCAAACGTAAAACCATCAAGCACTAATTTTGGCAGAAAACAAACCAGCGGGGAACCTTTAAATATTCTCTTTCGTCAGTGTTAAGTTCGGGGAGATGGTTAAAGATAATTTACCAATCAGAATCAAATATCCCAGAGGACAATATAATAAGCCAGAGTTAGTTTGCGCAAGAGCCAGAATGATGAAACTATAATATCTTGCAGCTGTCAAAAATCTATCTTCATTAACTTCTTTCAATATTTATTTATCCATCTGATCAGCTTGCCTAATTTAATGTTATATATCACAGGCACCATTTGTGCTTCAAAAGTCAAGTAATGATTACTAACTCAACCAAAATGATTGTGAATTTTTAATAGCAATGAATCTCTCCTGTTTCTCTGCACGAGGAGATTTACTCTCTCATGGACGTCTGGTGGATTTGATTCGAGTGCTGTTATTTCTGATGAGCAGAATGAATGAAGCATGCTGATATTTGAGTCTTATTGCCTTCTCAGTGTTTATGTTTGATGATTTGCGTCATTTAGCGAAGGCTTTGGTTCCAGGCAATCAGCAGGGGATTCTGGATAACAGACCTTTAGCCCCATGAGTCATAGCCACAGTTCCCTGCAACGCTGATCACATCAGCTGAGATGCAGTGTCAGTGAGATGAATCAGATGAAAGCGCTCTAACACTTGGGAGGCAACGCTGTTAGAGGAGCTGAGGTGAGGGAGGAAGCTGTCAATCACTGGCTGAGTAATTTGACCTCATCTCTATTTCTGTTACTTCATAAAAACATAAACATTTGTCACAGGTAGCTTTCTTCAGTTTGATTGACAATTGAGATTGATTGCGTGCGTGACATTGAGAAACAAATTGATCTCTGTCAGGAGATATGATAATGGAGCCATGTAGATGTAAATTGAATGCATGCTGGGGGATTTATGCTTGGCAATTAGGGTCGATTACAAGAAAACGTCAGCTATGAGAACCTTTGTTGGTAAACTGGTGTGTCTGTTTATAGAAAAGGCCACAGATGAATGATCTTGATGGGTATCCTGCTGAAAAGACGGGAAAATGACAGTAATGCAATGATTAGGAATTTACAATATTTTACAAATCCCCTATTTTTTATTCAGGTTACCTTGCTGTCATTTAACACTGATTAATATAATCTTTAAAAAAATGCAAAATACATATACGGTTTTTATACTGTGCATTAAAATGTTGAGATGGCTACATTTACTTTTAACACTTAAACAATAATAAAAAAGATGGAAGGAAGGAAGGGAGGGAGGGAAGCTGGATGAATGGATGGATGGATGGATGGATGGAAGGAAGGAGGGAAGGATGTAAGGATGGAAGGAAGGAGGGAAGGAAGGAAGGAGGGAAGGATGGATGGATGGATTGATGGAAGGATGGATGGAAGGATGGATGGATGGATGGATGGATAGATGGAAGGAAGGAGGGAAGGATGGATGGATGGAAGGAAGGAAGGAGGGAAGGATGGATGGATGGAAGTATGGAAGGAGGGAAGGATGGATGGAGGGAAGGATGGAAGGGAGGAGGGAAGGATGGATGTATGGAAGGAGGGATGGATGTATGGAAGGAGGGAAGGATGGATGGAAGGAAGGATGGATGGATGGAAGGAGGGAAGGATGGATGGAAGGATGGATGGATGGATGGAAGGATGGAAGGAAGGAAGGAGGAAATTATGGATGGATGGATGGAAGGAGGGAAGGATGGATGGAAGGATGGATGGAAGGAAGGAAGGAAGGAAGGAAGGAAGGATGGAGGGAGGGAGGGAAGGATGGATGGATGGAAGGAAGGAAGGATGGAGGGAGGGATGGATGGATGGATGGAAGGATGGAAGGATGGATGGAGGGAGGGAGGGAGGGATGGATGGAAGGATGGATGGATGGAGGGACGGATGGAAGGAAGGATGGATGGATGGATGGATAGATGGAAGGAAGGAGGGAAGGATGGATGGATGGAAGGAAGGAAGGAGGGAAGGATGGATGGATGGAAGTATGGAAGGAGGGAAGGATGGATGGAGGGAAGGATGAAAGGGAGGAAGGAAGGATGGATGGATGGAAGGAGGGAAGGATGGATGTATGGAAGGAGGGAAGGATGGATGGAAGGAAGGATGGATGGATGGAAGGAGGGAAGGATGGATGTATGGAAGGAGGGAAGGATGGATGGATGGATGGAAGGATGGAAGGAAGGAAGGAAGGAAGGAAGGAAGGAAGGAAGGAAGGAAGGAAGGAAGGAAGGAAGGATGGAGGGATGGATGGATGGATGGATGGATGGATGGATGGAAGGATGGAGGGAGGGAGGGAGGGAGGGAGGGAGGGAGGGAGGGATGGAAGGATGGATGGATGGAAGGATGGAGGGAGGGAGGGAGGGAGGGATGGAAGGATGGATGGATGGAAGGATGGATGGATGGAGGGACGGATGGATGGATGGATGGATGGATGGATGGAAGGAAGGAGGGAAGGATGGATGGATGGAAGGAAGGAAGGAGGGAAGGATGGATGGATGGAAGTATGGAAGGAGGGAAGGATGGATGGAAGGAGGGAAGGATGGATGGAAGGAAGGATGGATGGATGGAAGGAGGGAAGGATGGATGTATGGAAGGAGGGAAGGATGGATGGAAGGAAGGATGGATGGAGGGAAGGAGGGAAGGATGGATGGAAGGATGGAAGGAAGGAAGGAGGAAATTATTGATGGATGGATGGAAGGAGGGAAGGATGGATGGATGGATGGAAGGATGGATGGATGGATGGAAGGAAGGAAGGAAGGAAGGAAGGATGGAGGGAGGGATGGATGGATGGATGGATAGATGGAAGGATGGATGGATGGAGGGAGGGAGGGATGGATGGATGGATGGATGGATGGATGGAAGAAAGGAGGGAAGGATGGATCAATGGATGGAAGTAGGGAAGGATGGATGGAAGGATGGATGGAAGGAAGGAAGGAAGGATGGATGGAGGGAGGGAAGGATGGAAGGAAGGATGGATCAATGGATGGAAGTAAGGATGGAAGGATGGATGGAAGGAAGGAAGAAGGGAAGGATGGATGGATGGATGGATGGATGGATGGAAGGAAGGAGGGAAGGATCGATTCAAGGATGTAAGGAAGGATGGAAGGAAGGATGGAAGGAAGGAAGGAAGGAAGGAAGGAGGGAGGGAAGGAGGGATGGATGGATGGATAGAGGGAAGGATGGATGGATGGAGGGAAGGATGAATGAATGGATGGAAGGAAGGAAGGAAGGAAGGAGGGAAGGAAGGAAGGATGGAAATAAGGAAATTTTGGGAAATAAAGCAATATTGAAAAAATTACAAATTATCTGAATTTACCAGATTTTCACTATCAGTATATTCCTGATAGAAGCAGCAAAATAAATATCATGAAAATAATGAATAACAGTCATTGACATGGAAATAATGTGATAATATAAAACAAGGTATTCTTTCTTTTGATTTGGGGTTAAAATAGTACATGGAAATGTTCTTGACATGTCTGATGAGATTCATCTGTGTCTGTGTGTTAGTTCTGCTTGTCAATGAGACAGGCTGATCTATTCGAGCTGTGAAATTTCCGGTGCCTCATTAAGGCAGATGGAGGCGGGTCAGTCTTGTGCCATCTCCGTAGCAACAATAGCCATGCTGATATTAAGTAATATTGATGCAGTAAAGGTCAGAGTTGGCTGACGAAATAGCAGGCACAGACCACTCTTTGTTATGCCTTAAGGGTTAGTTCATGCCTATTTCAGGACAAAGAATCACAGGTATGATTATGTCTGACAGCAGGTCCCAAAAATGACCTCATCCAGATACAGATGCACAATGTCTTGGATCATTGTCAGAACTGATGTCAGGTTAGCTTCTTTGATCCTCAGATAAGCACTGATGTTTCCTTAGCTTTTATTAAAGTCTGGGACCAAAAAAAAAAGAAGAACAAAACAAACAAACAAAGCAAAAAAAAAAAAATATGAAGGAATGCATCAAAGGAGATTCATAAAAGTTATAAAAGGGTAATTTTGACATCTGTGGGTTGAAAATTAAACATTTATAAATATATATATATATATATATATATATATAGGTAGTCGACTAGTCGTAAAATTAAGTGTTACAGAGATTTATTTAAAAAAATATTTAATGACCCGAAAAAAGTAGTTTAGCCTATATTTATTGTATACTCTCTTTTAGTATCTTTCATTGTTTGTTTTTTTCTTTTGTCTTCACTACTTGCTATTTTTTGTTTTTTTTTGTTTTGTTTTTTCGTCCCATAAGAGCACTCGTGACTCAAGCGATGATGCGCTGCTCTGTTCATCTGTTATGCTACGATGAGAGGAGAT